TTTCTAAATTGACGGAAGCCCACTATTCCTACCATCTGAATAGTGCATGAACTACACATGGAACTGAGCTGTACATGAGATTGGAATTCACTCATTGTTATCATGTTGATCATAAAGATACCAAGAAAGGCTTTTGTTTTGTTGCCCTCAAAGACACTACACCTTTGACAATGTTACAACATGTCAATCTTATACCTCTAGTCATAAATAGGAAAGAGATATCCAGAGACGTCTGATTCAGGGTTTGGCTATCGTTCAGAGGTGGAGTACTTACCTAGCATGTATGAGTCTGTGGGTTCCCTCTCTATCACCTCTGAGATGCCTTACTCATAGACAAGCTGTAGGCTACTTAGAATGATAGTTTTCTACATACTTACGACCTGGTTCTTGAGAGGTCCACTGGAGATTTAAGCTGTGGTAGATACTTGAGACATACCTTCTAGCGGGCTTTAAAAATTCAGATGTTGTTATCTATATCCTATGTCTCTTCAAAGGTCATTACACTTCTAGAAGTCATTGCTTTCGTTTATAGACCTGGGGATTTAACCTCATTGCAAAGATCTGTGTTATCTTAAAGTTGCTTTGCAACAATCATGACTAGATTATTTATGATCAGTTTTCCACATCTTAAATATCATCTACCTCACTGGAAAGAAAAGACAAATATTTTGTCGCATCCATATTTCATAACTGTTAGTTTCTACTAAAGACATAAAATATTTCTAGATATTTATTTTTGCAGTTGTATGTTGTGTTGATATGTCCTTGTGTGTGAGGATACATTCCTGCCATGGCACCAGTACGGAGGCCAGAGGACAGGCTCTGGTATCTGTCTGCTAGGTCTGAGGCAGGGTTTCCATCGTTGACAGCTGTGGTCCAGGCTAGGTAGCCTGCAAGCTTCAGCAAGCCTCTACTGTCTACCTCCATCTCCTGATCTCATCATAGCACGGCAACTGGGATCTAAGCTAAGGTTTTCAGGCCTATGCAACAAGTGCTTTCCCCTGCTGAGCCATCCCCCCAGCTCCATAAAATGTCTTTTTAATCATCGCACTTTTTCGTGAACAGTAGCTTTGCAGGTCACTCAAGTCATAAGTGAGCTCGTAAAATGGCAGCTGTGCAGCTGCCTCGCTTTTTCTGCAGGCGCTCTCTCTTCCTAGTGGGGAGCTCACAGCGTCACTGTTTCGTCTTAACATCCTGAGCTGGATTCCCTTTGAGCATCTCCATCCGCTGAGCCAAACTTGCTTCTGCGGTTCCATCTCAGATCTTATAACCCTGGCCTCTACTCAGCATCATTTCCCTCACAGTCATTCAGACACATTTGCCGCGGAGGATCTCACCACTTTCATTTCACCCAAAGAGTCGTCTTTGTTTTCATGAGTCAGATTCAGAGTTGGAATTTCCCCTAACTAGTACATCTATTCCTTGGGAGTCGAAATTGTTAGTGTATTAAGCCAAAAATCAATCACTATTTTTTTTAAAGCTGGATAAGAACTTTAACAAATGTCTGGATATTTGAAGTCCTAACATAACTTCTTTGTTTCATCTATTCCCACTAATTTCTTCCTATTGCTGCTTGTGAAAATTTTTCCATCCTAGGCTACATTCTCAAGCTTATTTCCTCAAATCCACATTCTATGTTGGTATATAAAGTGCTCGTAATTGGGACGCTATTAACATCATAATCCACATCTCTATTATTATTTCTGTTGTAAAGACTTGGTACGAAACTCACTCTGTCTTTGTTGCTTCTTTACCAAGGGAAAGGTTGTCTTCATGAAAATAAGCAAGAACCCTTTTGTATCGGACAGTTTTGTGTAAACTTGATAAAACCTAGAGTCTTTGGAGAGGAGGGGGCTTCAGATGAGAGAATTCTTCATTAGGCTGTAGAGCCTGTAGGATATAATTAGTGATTGTGGGAGGGCTCAGTTCCTCGTGGGTGAGGCAACCCTGGGCTGGTGGTCCCGGGTGCTGCAGGAGAGCAGGGTGAACAAAACATGATGAGCAAGCCTGTGAGGAGCACTCTGCCATGGCCTCTGCATCAACTCCTGCCTCCAGGTGCCTGCTTGGATTGAGGTCCTGCCCTGATTTTCTTCTGTGATAGACTACGATGCAGAAGTGTAAGCTAAATAAACGGTTTCTGCCTCAACTCGCTTTGGGTCACTCAGTTTCATCATAGCAATAGTATCTCCAACTGAGACAGGCTTCCTCAACCTGTACGAAGCTAAAAAGGGTCATTTAGTAAAGAATTAAATGTAGGGAAATGTCACAGAACATATATGACCAAGGAGACTCCCTGAGCTCCATGAGGAACTCAGCTGATGTCTGAGTGGATGGAAATGGTAGCATTTGCTCAATTCTCCTGGATTTCTCGTCGTGTGTCTACACTGTTCCTCAGACTCTAAAGCCCAGCATTTTCTGCTTTAGCAATAAAGAAGCATCTTAGCGACATTGTACCTGAACTTCCTTCCAGACTCAAGGCCTAAGCCTTCAAGTTCAGTTTGGGACCACTACTCTGAATTTACTTCCAATGGTTTATTTTCTTTGGTATCACAAGCCCACACTTGGTCTAATCATCTGGGTTTACAGAGGAAAAGTTCCCTGGAGAATAGCAGACAGGGGATAATAGCTTTTCTAGGAGAGTGTGAAGGCAGATCTGAAATGACTCAGCACTCCGTCTTAGAACTTTGTTACCAAAGATCAGTCTCTAAGTTCTTTGCCTCATAGTCATTTTCCAGCTTATTTATTTTTTTTGGTAAGATACACCCCCAGCTTAGATATGTGTTTTTTTAATTAAAATAGTTTACATTTAATTTTTAAATTAAGTTTTATTTTATGTGTAGGGTGTTTTGTTTACATGTATGACTATGTGTAGCTGGTGCCCTAGGAGGCAAGAAGAGGGTATTGGATCCTCTAAGACTGGAGTTGCAGCTACTATATGGGTTCTGGGATGTGACCCAGATCTTCTGCAAGAGCAGCAAGTGTTCATAATTCCTAAGCTATCTTTCCAGTCTCTTATTTTTAATTTTTACTTTATTTATTAGTGTGTGTGTGTGTGTGTGTGTGTGTGTGTGTGTACATGCAATAACTTTAGGGAGTTGATTCTATCCTTCCATTGAGGGTTCCAGGAATTGAACTCCGGTTGCCAACTTTACTAGACAGACACTCTTACCCAAGGAGCCTTCACCCACTGTCCGTCATTCCAGTATTTAAACCATGGTTTAGGACTTAAATTTAATCCATGATTATATCCTATACTCGCCCCGTTCTTCTAGAGCGAAATGAGTGAAAACACGCTTGGTACTCTGAAGGATTTCAGATTCCTTCCAATGTTGTCATTCCTTGAAGACACCTCCCCTAGTTTCCTGTCCAATGTGCTTGAGAAAGAGGGACTTGTTTGTTACTTGGGTTCCATCCTGGCTGCCTTTAAACTGCTCCACAGGAAATTACCAAAAACAAAGACACAGAGATAGCTTTCTTCCTCCCAGTATTGGGACCATGAGAATTGCTGCTTTCCCCTTTTCTTTCCTTCCTCAAGGGAGGTTGAGTATTTCCATCCCTCCATCATCAGAAGCCATGCCCTTCAGGTGTGTGTCTGCAGCAGACCGGCAGCCTCCTTTTTGTCTCCTGCTTCTACACTCTTATTTCTGTGTGATCTGACTCTATTCTAGCTTTCTAATTTGTTTTTATTTTTGTGAGTGTGGGATGTATTGTTTTCTAGACTATCTGAAGTTATGTGTTGGGAGACGATTCAACCTAGTGTATATTTTTAGCTCCGGAGAATACCTCCATTTTAATCTTCCTTTCGTGTTTCACTTATTCTTCTTTGTCTAGTTGGGTCAAGTTTTGCCCCTCTCCAACTGTGAGTCATCTTCATCTTCCACCTTTAAAATTTCCATTAACAGTCCCATCTCATGGAGATTATTTATACGCAGGACTTTTCTGTGAGACCTAAATATTTTTCTCCTGACCCTTTAATATTCCCAACTGTGCAGAAAGCATCCAAAATACCTGTACCTTGTACTTGCTTTTGAAAAGAAGACAACCAACTTTTTCATGGTTTGTCATTGGGCCATTAGGCTCTATGGATTGAGATCTCAAGATAATTATAATCCTACATTTATTCACTCCCTTTACTGTCTTCTGGAATCCCAGCTAAGAGCGCAGCTTCAGAGTCGAACAGTTCTGACAGCCTCCATTACCTTGGCAGGAAAATGGGGATCATGGAAGTTATTGCTGAAAAGAATTCCCATAAAGATTAAATAAGAACATGAACTGTGAACATCGACTTCACTATGCTACTCAATCAGCAAGTGCTGGGTACAGTCACTGTGTGGGGACTTCTGCTCGATTCTAAGCTTTTGGAACCCACGTCTATCAGTTTATTAAGCAGCTAGGTCTTTTGATTTTATTATTATCCTTTTGCATCACACACATTTCATGGTGAGAACTCCAGAAAAAGAAACACTGAAACTAAGTTTACTACCCCTGATTTTTGCTTCTTCATTTACAGGCATTCCCTTCAAATTCATGGATTTATACTCACACTGTTTTCATTCTATTTCTTCACTTATTCTTTCCTAAAAATCATTCATAAAACTTCTTTGTGTCTTTTTTTATTGGGTGGAGGTCAAATTCAAATCTCACCAGCACTTTGCATCCTGTACTATAGTACAGAGGAAGTAGGATGGAGCTCAGGGTCTTGCATGTGCTGTACAAAGGCTCCACTACTGAGCTACCTCCCAGACATTTTTAATTTTTTGTCAGATAAGTTCTCACTAAATTGCCCAGGCTAGCCTTGAACTCACTTTGTATTCCAAGACGGTCTTGAAGTTGTGATCAACGGTTCTGTCTCGGTTTCCTGAGTAGCTGGGATTATAGGCTTGGCTTCCTCCAGTGATTTAATTGTTAGCTAGTTACATGACAAGTTCTGTACCAGGTGGCTGAACATGCTTAGGGATGATTTCCTTGTTTTAGACCGAAATGAAAAATGACATGGAGAATTAAAGTGAGCAGCTCAAGAATATATTAGTAGTAGATAGCACCTGCAAAGATAGTGAGACAAAAGTATAAACCAGTAGGGAGGAGAGAGAGAGAGCGAGAGAGAGAGAGCACATTTTTTATTTTCTTCAAACGGAACAGTCAGAGAACTTTGCGGAAGAGATCAAATTTAATCTACAAGATCGGCCACTGAAGATGACCAAGCTGCAAAGAATATTCTCTCTCATTCCATCCATTACTGTTATCTGTAATCTTGATTTGGGTTTCTAATTCCTAAATACAAAGGAGACAAATTTCTACTGATTAAACAGATTGGGAAATGGGGACCCACGGCGTTTTATTGGATGCTACACTGTGCACACCCAGAAACCTTTACCATGTGGAGAATGGATCCAAGGCAAGGAGCTCCATTTCCAGTGTTTTCGAGGACAGTGCACGTGTCCTTTCCCCAAGCTTAGCCACATTTTTTATAATGAGTAGCTGCTCCATGAAACGACCGATAAATGTGCCAATTCCTGGTACAGATGAATCCCCCACCTCTGAAGACTTGGTGTGGGTCCCGATTTAGGTCTCCAATACAGGTCCAGTGACTGTTGGAGAGTTTGGAAACGCCCCATTTGGAATGGTCGTGGTAAGAACTGAAGGAATATTTGCGACCTAGTCTAATGCGGTTGATATTGTAGACGTGGTAATGAAGGGAACAGTTGGAAGGAAATTCATGGTTCCTCCGGTGCCAGGTTTCTGCTAGTAAATGTGTCTTCAAGCTTTGAGCCATCCAGGCTGAAAAGATGTCTAGGGGCCAGGAGGAGAGAAACAGTGAATAAGATCAGCCAGGTCATCCCTGAAAAGTCCCTAGGCAGTAGAAGCCACCACTGCTCTGTGCATCTGGCAATTGTAACAGCATGACTGCATTGTAACATAGTGGGCGGGGAAATAGTTTCTAAATCCTAAAGCAAGGTTCAAACATAAGTTCTTATTGTCATATTGTAAAGATGTTGGAGTCTGCAAGCGCCTTCTCTCCCACACAAAGGAAGTAACACATATTTCAACCATGAAAAAACTTCTGGAAATAATAAGGCTGGAAAATCAGAGTCAATTTCAAGGATTTTTATAAGTCATACTATTATGATTGAATTTTTTTTGAAGCCAATGGGAGGAGTTTTAGAAAAGTGTTAGTTTAGAACAAAGAGAAACTAATGTATGGTCATAAGTGTTAACTGAGAGATACTGTCCAGGATGGACTTGGAAGGGTGAATTTCAGAGGATGTAGGAAATACCAGATTTTCAATACTGTGTCAAAAACACTGGTACGGACTTTGGAAGCAGGAGAGCTGGAGAAGAGCTAATGAAACTGAAAGCTCTTAAGTACCTGAAACCAGAGGGATTTGGTGGTTTGTTGGAAGAATGGGAAAGAGGGACTGTGTCATGTCTTGGAGACTGGGTGGAATATGAAGGAAAGAGTGGGTATGTGGACGAAGATGGCGGGACCAGTCTGGCACGTTGCATTTGGTGAAGCAGTCCATTCACCATTGAGTGCATCCATTACAATAGATGTCTGAGGCAGAAATCCCAGCCTTGGAAATCATCCAAGGGCTTTCTGAAATTATGTCACATGGCACATAGAGCAATATAGGAAAGGGGAGAAAACCATACAGCAATCTCTTCTCCTGAGGAGGCGCTCTGGCACAAGGGACTTAGACATCAAAAGGAAGAACAGGAGGCTATGCTTCCAAAATCAGTGAAGGAGCGCATCCCAGGAAGGGAAGGTTTCCATCAGCACCGTGGCCGGCAATGGCTTTTGCTGTCCCATTAGTTTCTGTATCTCTAGTGTCTGACATAGGCTGTAGGTAAATTCCCTATAAAGTATAAAAGAAGGAAAAAAGCAAAAAGCACGGCAGACCACGAGGCTCTGTAAGACAAGCATTTACAGCTGGGAGACATTGCTTACAGACAAAAGAAAGACTCAAAATGAAGAGAATCAAGCCGCTGAAGTCTCTGAGGTTGTTTCAAAAAGAAATTTGGGTGGAAAAGGGGAAACCAGAAAGATGGACAGTTTAAACTTGCGGAACAGCTTTTAAATAGGCCTGTGTGCTACAAAGAGGCTATAAGAGTGGGAGGTTTGAAAGAACAGATTCAGTAGAAAAAAACACCGAAGAGTTTTGAGGCTAGAGTGGGTTATAGAGAGGGTATCGTGGCTGCTGGAATGTGTATAAACCCAAGTACGAAAACATGAGGATCGTTAAGAGCGAGGGGGTGCAGAACTTAAATGATTGCTCCCTTAGGGTCCTCGTTCTCGGGAGAGAGGGAAGGGTTGGATGAAGGGCTTGAAAACAAGGAGGACTCAGAGCGACTGTCTAGCAGACCCTGGAAATAGCTGTGACTCTATGCCCAGCAGAGACTGAAACTGAGTCTCTAGAACCCCAGCTGTGTGTGTCTAAGGTGCTCCTGTGTTTGAGTCGGCAACTGCAGCCATTCACAGGGAGCAAGGAAACGCAGGAGCGGATGCCTGAAGTCTCTCTTCCCCTTTGGCCTCCTAGCTTCCTTTCTTTCCCACTTCTCTGTCCCAAATAACCAGGGCATTTTCTCTAAGAAACCACCTGATTCCTACTAACAAGGCGATAGCCTTTCATACCATCAGTATAAAGAGAGGATTTCGCAAAATGTAAGAACTTCAGTCCCTGGGCTGATTGAAGGGCGGCGAGCCTCCGGACAGGGATATTTAAGGAGCCGGACTTGTCACACATCTGAGTCAAATGGATGAGTTCTTGATGGAAGATGTTTGGGATGGAGCAGCTGTAGATGTTTGGTTGGGAGACAAAGAGCTGAGAATCTAAACCGAGAGACAATAAAGAAAGGCTGAGAATTTAAGCACTAATGGAAACACTGATACTATGGATTTTTGTTTGGATTGAAATACAGAAACAAAATATTCCCCAAGCATATATTCCTCCCACTCTTTTAGAGAACCAGCCTTCAAATGCCTTGTGGTTAAAGTAATTGAAGCATATTGAACATTCCTACTCCATATTTTTATGATTTTATGTAATTTTTAGTCTTTTGGAAGGGTGGGGGTATGTAATGTTTATATGTATGCATATATGCACCTATGATGTGTGTACATATATGCATGTACCTGCCATGTCACACGTACGGCAGTCAGAGGACAACCTCAGGTGTCAGGTCCTTGCTTTCTGCCTTATTTAAGGCTTGGTCTCCCTGCATTTTGCCACGACAGACCCAAGGCTAGTTGGCCCATGAGCTTCTGGAGATTTTCCTGTCTCTACTTCCCTTCTTGCAGTAGGGGTGCTAGGGTTACAGTGCATTGCTGTTTTATTTGACTTTATGTGAATTCTGGGATTCAAATTCAGGGCCTGGCAATCAGTTTATCCAAACCCTCTCCCCAGGCTGTTTTATGTCTTCCTCATCTAGCCATTAGGTGAATTCTAATTTACCTAGTAATTATCTAACTCATGCAATTATTAGGTAAATTCTGTTCTTACCACCACCCTCATTTTTGAGATGAATTAACTGAGACTCTGCCACATACCTGGGATTATAAAGCTTGCAGATGCAGAGCTAAAATTCATTCTTACATACCCAGCCATGCTTTCTTTCCTATGTGTGCTGTATGAAGGTAAAGAACTCCTAGTGCCAAACATTCAGCTTGAAGAATAACCAGCTCGTTGTACATCTCATCCCCGTATAGCTCTGCGCCCTGCCATATGACTTCCACGAGGCGGACGAGAGACGTGGTGGCTGGGCTTGATTGGCAGCTCCACCACCTCTGGAACTGACCAGAAGCCAAGGGGCTGTGTCCACCTGTGAGGGATTTTTCTTAATTAAGTCATTTGAAGTGGGAACATCCACCTTTAGCTTGGCTCTTTTGAGGTGGGAAGATCTACTTTTAATCTGGACCACACTTTCTGATGAAAACCTATATAAAGGGCGTGAAAGAAAGAAGCTGCTGCTCTTTGCCTGCTTGCGTTAACTCTCAATGTCCAGTTCAGTCTTTCACTGAAATTATAGGTTAGTTCTTTGGAGTTCAGTCATGTACTGAAGACTAGCTGAGATATCCAGCCTTATGATCTGAACAACTACTGGATTATTTTTATTTTATTTTATTTTATTGATTTTTTACTGAGCTTTACATTTTTCTCTGCTCCCCTCCCTGCGTCTTCCCTCCCTGCTTCAACCCTCTCCCAAGGTCCCCATGCTCCCAATTTACTCAGGAGATCTTGTCTTTTTCTACTTCCCATGTAGATTAGATCTATGTATGTCTCTCTTAGTGTCCTCATCGTTGCCTAAATTCTCTGGGATTGTGATTTGTAGGGTGGCCATCTTGAATTTTTCAGGAAAATGAATGGAGCTAGAAAACATCATTTTGAGTGAGGTAGCCCAGACACAGAAAGACAATTATCACATGAACTCACTCATAAGTGGTTTTTAAACATAAAGCAAAGAAAACCAGCCTACAGCTACTGGATTCTTGGCCTTCCCATTGGTAGACAGCCAATGTCAGATTAGCTATAAATCGCTGTACTAAATATCACATAGATATGTATTCATTGTACTAAATATCATATAGATATGTATTCATTCTGTCACTTTTGTCCCTCAAGAATCTAGTCTAGAGTCTAGACCAGTGGTTCTCCACCCTTGGATCGCAACCTTTTGGGATCAAATGACCCTTTCACAGGGTTGCTTATCAGATATCATGCATCTCATATTTTGACATTATGATTCATAACAGTAGCAAAACTACAGTTAAGAGGTAGTAACAAAAATAATCTTATGTTTGGGGTCACCACGACCTGAGGAACTGTGTTAGAGGGTTGTCCCATTAGGAAGATGAAGACATTGGGCTAGACTGATACAGAGCTCAGGTGAATGAGTGAGAAGCAATTCTAGGCTTCCTGTACCTGAAGTTCACACACACTACGTCTTTTCTAACCTCCACACCGTCGTCTGCCAAATAAAAGTATGTTGGGCTATTTGAGTGTGAGATCTTAGAAGATGTTTATCTGTGGCTGAGGTGCAATCTTGGGACTATGAAGGCAAATTTGCTCTGAAGAAATTTTTAAAAAACTGACATTGAGTCTATATCTAAAAAAAGGGGTTTGTCTCTTACGCAACACACACACACACACACACACACACGCATGTTATCTAGTTCCTCATGTAAAGTACAGAGATCTCTAATCAGTAATTTCCCGTTTCTGTGCATTTATGATAGCACCGAGGCCCCTGAAGGCATCCAATGGAAAGTCAATACCTAAGTTTGTCACTGTCCCCAGTACTTGTGTAACATCGGTCTGCCTCATCCATTTTTTTTTTGTTACTTACCTGGCCTCCAAATTAATTTGAAACTTTTGCCCTGGTAGAGTTCAACAATGTCATTTACAGACCAGGAACTGAGGCTGGGTAAGGGATCCTGCTCAAGGTTTCACCCAGCAGAGGCAGTAGGAGAATCTGGACCCCAGAAGGTCTATGAACAGATTGATGGTTGAAGCGGCGCCCTTGTTTATATGGCTCCTGCTTCCTTCGTCAACACATTGCCCCTTTACATAAGCTCCAGGGTTACCTATTTCTTTATACTGGCTGTATTTGAAAGTTACACAGATGCCATTTTGTCCATAACGTCTCCCTGAGGATGGATAATCATAGCCATCTTTCGGAAATGGAGGAAACCCAGGAACAGAATGAATCAGCCAGATCCCCTGGATTTTGTTCCATACAAGTAGACCTAACAAAAAACAACAACAACAACAACAAAAAAAAACAAGACACATTTGATTTGGAGAAGTTAGAAAGCAGATCTCCTCTCAAAATACATTTCAAAACTGTGATACTGAAGCCTACCTAAGGGCTTCTTAGACTCTTGAGAATTATCTTCTTCCTATGTCAAGAACTTCAATAACAAGCCAGGTGCACATCATGGTGTCCCCTTACTGAAAAGGGGAGCCAGGGAGGACACTTTGTGAAGAGGGGAGCTCTTGTTAACCATACATAGTACCCGACAAGCTCTAGCAGCTAAAAGCCATTTAAAAGAAACAATAGCAAACAGAGGGGGGTGCTGGTAGCACTTGGTTTTAAAAGGCAGCTGCTCATTTGCTGGAGAAGGGTCACCCAATTTCTACAGACCTGATTTAAAAGAGACAAAGCAAAACCAGGTAGCCATGCAAAAGCATCCTTGTTGAGCATGATTTTCAAAAGTCTCAAGAACCCAACTAAGATGAAAGCCACAAAGGCAGGCCATGATATGGCAGAAAGGCCCTTATCCAAAACACTTTCCATGTTTATAAACATATGATGGGCTATCCAAAGCTTCCAGCCCTACAGGAACATGCCAGCAAGTCCATTCAAATGCCTGTTGACTTGCTTTTTCAGAGAGTACACCTAGAGAAAGTATACCACAGTGGAAGCTGTCGGAGGTGCCTACCTTGCTATCACAGCCTCCTGGGTATGAGTGAAGCTCTAGATCAAACGAAACCCCAACTACACATTAAACTCCCCAAATCCTTGCAGCAAATAGCAGGTCAGAAAAGAAAGTATCAGAGACCCCTTGGGGTGAGGATGGAAAATACAGCATGTTCTAAACATCACTGGGCTCTGTGCTAACAAAGCTATCATAAGGGCAGCAATGTGACCAAAGTTTTCAATTTCACAGCGTTTGCTGGGCATCACAAATGATTTGTGTTCAGGGATGGATAAGGAACAGACAGAGTCTCACACTGTAGCTCAGGCTAGCCCCAGTGTCCCTGCTGCAGCCTCTTCAGTATTTGTATGCCTGGATATACACTATAATCTTAGTCAGATATTGAAAATTGGCTGCCCTAAGACCAAATACACTTTGATGATATATTAGGTTTGCTGCATATTGTTAAGTCTGGATTTATTCCCTGCCAATCATTAAAACTCCTTCTAAAACACAAATTTTTAGCATCTCTGAAAAATTGTATGCAGATAATTCAGGGTAATGGGTGTCCTTGCTAGACATTATAAGTACTTTCCAGTTCCCTGCTAGCTCGGCCCCACATCACTTGCTGACCTTATGTGGCTTTCTTTGAAGATATTTGGGTTTGGAACATTCTGGAGATTACTTATTACCATAGAAGTTATTTGCGGTATATGAAGTTGAACTGAGTTGGAAATACAATATTTATAATATTTTATAAACTGCTGAGTATTAGGATTACTTGTTTTTGTTTATCTACATTTAAATTTTTCTATAGCACATACACTTATGGATGATCTGTAAATGAAAAATAACAAAGGTTATTTGTTAAGAATTCCTGGATCAAGAAACACTATGTAGCCAAGCACTATGTTACTAGAAAGAAAAACTTTAAGGATATGTTTTTAAGTGTTTATTTTAAATGGAGTTGCACATTTAATAGAATGAATTTTATTCAAAGCAAATATAGCTCGGTAAACTTCCATAAGCTTGACATAAGCCTATAATCCTAGCAACACGGGAATTTCAGACAAGAAGATCAGAAGTTCAAGGCTAGCTTGAACAATTTGGGCAGATTCTATTAATTGGGGGTATAACTCAGTGGTAGATTGATTGGCCTGCAAAAATGAAACAAATAAAAATCAACAAAACCCAACTAAAAAGTGTATATATATACTTCTCTCTCTCATACACACCCTCCCAACCCCCCCCCAACATTATATCCTTTCTGGTGTGTGTCCATGTATATATACATATGTGCATATAAACACATACACATATACACACATGCATGTGAATATATGTATACACGACTGTATGTATGTATATATGTATTTGAATGACCACTACTTGGCATGATTACTTTAAAGCACATTTTTTAAAAAAAATATTTATTTATTTATTATGTATACAATATTCTTTCTGTGTGTATGCCTGCAGGCCAGAAGAGGGCACCAGAATCCATTACAGGTGGTTGTGAGCCACCATGTGGTTGCCGGGAATTGAACTCAGGACCTTTGGAAGAGCAGGCAATGCTCTTAACTGCTGAGCCATCTCTCCAGCCCCTAAAGCACATTTTTTTAAATGTTAAGAAATAATCTGGGATTTCTGAAAAGGGCTTTGGAATGTCAAGCCATCTAATTATTTTGTAAAGTGCTATAAAGAAATCATACCTCAGTAAGTTGGGATGAATCATAAAAAGCAAAGCTGTCTTTTTAATGTGGAATATGAGGATGTTAAAGATGAAAGGCTTAAGAAAATATGGATTCCCAATAGGAAAGAGAAGCCAAGAACCCCTGACTCACCTTTGGTGTGTCCATACTTTCTGCTGTAAGTCTTAGACTTAGGGACACCATCATTGTATATTAGATAGGCTGTGTTATTGCTCTGCGGGAATACATGAGAATGATAATGGCACAGGTCCTCTATTTTCAATTACTCTCACTATTGCTATCAGCTTCCCAGGCTGCAGCAGAGAAGCTCTCGTTAATGCACATAAGAAATCATCCACAAGCGCGTGAACCAGCAGAGAGCTCTCTTTAATGCACATAAGAAATCATCCACAAGAGCATGAACTCTGTGACATGCAAGATGGAGGGAGAGAAGCCCATTTTCACTCATACAGATTTTATGTGTATATGTGTACATGCATATTGTGTGTGTGTGTGTGTGTGTGTGTGTGTGTGAGAGAGAGAGAGAGAGAGAGAGAGAGAGCTAGACACCAACTTTGGGTATTATTCCTGGCCTAGAACTAGCCTAGCTCAGTAGAGTGGTTGACTGGCCAGCAAACCTCAGGGAGTCACCTGACCCCACTTCCTCAGCTCCCGGATTACAGGCATGTGCCACTGTCTGGTTTTTAGCCTCACGTGACAGGAGCCCTATGTGGCCTGTGTGTGAGGATGACACTTCCATTTCTCTTGGTTGTTTTGGAAGCAGGGATCTGATTAAGCAAGCAGTGCATGATAAAAGGGTACAGAGTTGTTTGTTCAGGAAATAAAGCTGGGACAACCAGCCAAAGATTACTCCTGGGGTTTTTCCCACTGAGGGTATAGGTGCGGAGTGGAGTGGGTCACTGGGATCTCATCGCCTCGGCCTGGGTCGTGCCCCACTGTCTTCACGTAACTTTGTATTTAATCAGGACCCCTCATTACTTCCTCCCCTTCCTCTCTCACATAAGCGTCGTTTGTCCCCCAAACCATTTCTTAGTGCCACATGGACACTTAGAAAAGGTGGAGAAATTTAATGTGTGATACTGGATTTCTTCTGGTAAGATTCTCCAAAGAGGTTGCTTAACCTCTAAGTCGGAGGAAAGCTATTGTTTTGGTAGCGTCTCTTTGCCAAGCTTTGGGAACGTCTTTTGTTTGTTCTGGGTGGTTCCATCCCATCTGTGTCACGATGCAGTGACTTTTAGTGAAACCAGTGATGTTGATAATGAAAAAAATCTCAGTGGCAAAAGCAATAAGGGAAACTCATTGTCTAAAAACAAAACAAAGCAAAACAAAAACCAGTCCCCATGCCCCCTATCACTTGAAGCTAATTATCTGAGGTAATGCAGAAGCACTTAAAAATGTTCAGTCTAGTTTTCACTGCTCTGCTTTGGTCTTCCGGGAAGTAAGCTGTTTTCTTAGGCTTGGGCTTTTGGTTCCTTCGTTTGTTTTGTTTTCTGTGTGATCAACCACAGCAGTGACAGAACGGCTCTGACGGGTACTCTGAGCTGGCACTGACCGTGGTCACAAGGCCATGTGTAGTAAGTTGACCTAGTGAGCATATTTACTCTTACAATCGATGGTATTTATTATTACGACAGGGAGTGTGACAGACAGCTATGGTTAAATTGATTGTAGCCCTGGTGAGGAAAGACGCTACCGAAGAAGGGAGAAGACCACAGAATAGACAGGATAGGCCCGGCAGCATAAACCTGTGGTTACAGCCTTAAGGAGGAGAAGACAGGTGGATCATGAGTTCAAAACTAGCTGATAGCCTTGGCTACACAGGGAGGCCCTTTCTCTTAAGAGTGTGTGTGTGTGTGTGTGTGTGTGTGTGTGTGTGTGTGTGTGGGTGCATTTGACCAAGCAAGCAAATGTGAAGGCAGAAGTTGATTGGTGGGGATGTAGGGGGAGGTCTTCCATTACTTCTCCATCTTATTTTGAGATAGATTTTCCCACCAGATAGTGGAGAGGAAGTCTCAGTTTCAGCTAAGTTGGCTGGCATCAAACCCCATCGATCTGCTTGTCTCCATCCCCAGTGCTGATGTTGCAGGCATCCACCAAATTTGTCTTTGAGGGTTATCTCCATGGGCCCCAGCTCTATTCCCTTAACCCATGTTAAATGCTGTCTTGATCACTGGATGTAGGACTGAGGGGATTATCCTCTGACCCTAGTCTAGCAGAAGATAGAGTTAGACAAGGAGAAGCCACTGCCGCGTACTTTAATTATTAAGGGATATGGAGGGTCATTATTTGAAAGAGTAAAAGACTGGGAACAATTCCAAGTGTAACCAGACCATTGGACTCAGTCCCCTTGACATTTGTGATACGAGATTAGGTAGTCTGACCTTACATCCCACTATCAGAAGATCAATACCAGGCCAAAGGGTAGAGAAGACAGTTCTCTTTCACTGGGGCAGGTAGTTCTGTCTTCCAAAGAACACTCAGGCACAACCGTGTGCCACTTACTCTCCTGCTTTCTTTTGAGCCAATCAGATACGGGAACCAGTCCCTTTCCTGACATTTTCCTGTCTAGAGCCAAGCGCTTGAAGCCGTGTGTGTGTGTGTGTGTGTGTGTGTGTGTGTGTGTGTGTGGTGGTGTGCGTGTGTTTTACTCACATGGCGAAGGCTTTTCCACTGTCCCTTTGCTCTATCTCAGCCTCCCTTTTCTTTCTCTCACACTCTTGAACTCCTTGCCATCCTTTAGTTTAGGGTAAAGGTGGGCAAGATTTTAGTCTGTAACCCAGACCAGCCTGGAGGTCACTTAGCCCAGATGGGCTTTGAACTCATGGCGAGCCTCCTGCCTCGGTGATCTTCCTGAATGTTAGGATTGTAGGTGGGAATCATACCTGACCCTTCTCCCTGTTTTTGTTCTGCTAAGCAGGTGTAGTACCTCCTCTTTCCCAGACCTGAGCTGCCTTTCATGCCCCGAGATCATTATTGGAATCTGCCAACCTAAATATCAAACGGTCATCTACTCCAGCTAAGGGGAACGACAGTGCCTGACAATGCTATCTTTTTCTCTTCTCCACTCCAGAAGTCCCTGGGACAGAGAGAAGAGCAATGTAGGGGTTATTTTCTCACTTACGGCCCCCTGTTCCAGGCTCCCATCACCTTGGGACGCAGAAGTGCTCGGTCAGTTTTCATTTTATGTAATAGCCTGTTTGTTCAAAACTGGGTTGCTGTTGAGATGAAATCATTTTGAAAAGCACCTGCCACAGTGCTTGGCTCATCACATGTACTCAACCAGGGCTTGGAGTCATTTTAACTGTGCAGTTTTGCTTCGAGGTTGCTTTTAATAGCAGGCAAATAAAGCAAGCACCCCACCACCACCACACACACAGTGACGTCTCCTGAGAGAATGTTCAGGTAGAGTCAGGTAGGCTCGGGTGGTATTACTAGAAGCTAAAGCAGTCTTGTTGTGGTGAGTGTTAAACTAATTAACAGGTAAAAAGCCAAGAACCTACCATAGTGTAGACACAGTCATTTTAAACATGCTCATGTTTAAATGTGTTTGCAGGGAACACATTCATGGAGTGGACCTAGCATAAGATAGAGAGATTGATTTAATTTAATTTAATTTTTATTTATTTATTATTTTGTTTGTTTGTCTTTCGAGACAGGGTTCCTCTGTAACTTTGGAGCCTCTCCTGGAACTAGTTCTTGTAGACCAGGCTGGCTCTAACTCACAGAGATCCGCCTACTCCTGCCTCCCAAGTGCTGGGATTAAAGGTGTGGACCACCACTGTTCAGTGATGTCATTTTAAACCCACCCATAAATTATTGTCAGGGAAAGTCTCTGTGGAGTAGAACAATGTGTCCGTTACTGCTTGGTATTACCTGCCGTTCGCGTCTGGAAAGCACTGTCTCAACCAGATAGATCCTGCAACACCGTGGGGCTGGCCCCCCGACACAGTAGACCTGCCTGCTGATCTGATCTGTCTTTAGTCAGTTCATTACCTTGAAGCCCAGGTTGCTGACTTCATCTCCACTCAGATAAGTCAGGTCTGGGACCCTGAAGCTAAAGCCTTAGGTGTCAGCCTACTCACTGCTTTGAAAATAATTAATTCAAAGGAAAACCCAGAGGGGCTTTTCCTTGGATTACTAGCTCTCATCAACACCGTGATTCAAACAGCCCATAGTCAAGGTCTGATGCTCACAGACCCTGGCTGCTGGACAGGGCTCTTACCCCATGCGTAAGAGAGGACATGCCGAGCGTGTTGGCCGAGATCTGACAGCCTGGAGACTTTGGTAAGCCATCCTTTCTCATCTTGCCTAGTGATACTATTACACTTGGTGCCACATTGTGAGAATTTTTGCTTGTTTTAGTCAAAGGTAGTTAGCTTAGCAAGGATTTATATTTCCTGACCCTCCCTGGTTCCCCGGTTCCCTTTGCACTGATTAACTAACTGCATCAGGTTGTGAAGTTGAGCTCCCACCAATAGGATGAGACACAGCTGCTATCTAGTCAGGGATAATGTATGCTGGCTAGCCCAGGTTGGGTCTCAGCACACCGTTTTCCTTAAAAGGATTGCCTTGCCAGGCTGCTTTTGTTTAGTCTGTGTATTCCTTCATATGTTACTGAGATGAGTCTTTGTTTTTAACAAAGTGAACTGACAACTTAGCATTGGTATAGGTTATGGTGATGTATTTCTTACAGCTGTCGTCAGGTTGATTCGGCTGTCCTGGCCTAGTTCTGAGCGAGTTTATCTCAAGTCTCTACAGTTAGGGGTTAGAGAGGTGTGTTCAATTACATATATATTTATATTTCAAAGATGATTTTGGATGAAGATTTAGATTTTGTTTACATCCTTTCTGTGATCTCCACAAATGATGGACTGTAACCTACCTTGGAGTTGTATGCTTCATACAGCGGCTCCAGGGTCCTTCCCAAAATACTTCTGTTGTTGTTTATCAGATGGCTGCTTGTCTTCCAATTTTTTGTTATGGAGTCCAGGTACAGGTACTCCAGCCCGTTGTCTGTACTGTTCTTCTGAAATACTTTGGGCACCTTATAAAAGACAACCCTAACACAGCAAATAGTTCAGAGTTGTTACCATTTGTCTGCTTCCCTGTTGGCAGTCTGTGTTGCCCCCATTGATAAACCATTCACTGTGATTTGTAGGAGGCCTCTAAGCAAAGGGGCTACTCAAGGCTTCTGTTCCTTTCTCTGTCCCTCTTTTTACCTTTCTCCCCAGGAAGGCAAGCTTGGTATGGGTGGTATGTTCTAAGTCTTGGAATCTGAGATATCAGCTGGCCTAGTGACTGGGGCCCCTGGAATAAAAGCTCATCTGTGCTGAGAGTAAGTCTGTCTCTCTGGTGTCTGCACAGCCTCAGTCTAGGGCTGTACTGAGATTCACTCTGCGTTTCTTGGGGTCACTCTTGCCACAGTGCTTAGCCCCTGGTCTTTTGAGAGCTAATCAGATGAACATAAGCTCTAGTTGTGAGCTTTGTCAGGGGTGCAGACTTTCCTGCAGCTTGGCAACTTTCTACAGCTCAGTTTATCAGAATGTTCTGGATGGAAGATTTGCTCACCAAGGGTTTGAAGCAGGCCTCTTCCTATGTCTGTGGTCATTCCGTTTGTCCTGTCCTTTGCATAGCTCACCGTGACAACAAGTGGCTGGGCCTATGTAGTGTTCAGCCAGCCTTGGGCCACCCCAAGAAAGCCAGGCTTTCTCGAGTGCTCTAGTTCCATTGTGACCAAGGTCTATTTTTACTGAGCTGGCTGGTGTCCTGTAGGCATCCCCCTTTTAGACACCAATAGTAATCCAATGTTGTGTCCATCAAAACTGTCTCTAGACCTTGCCAAAAGTCCCCCAAGAGCAAATTTGCCATACTTTTAAAACTTTTGGTCTAACCAAATGAATAATAACAATATGAAACCCTGTAATTAACCCTGTAATTAACCTCAGCGAGCCAAACACAATCCATACATCATCACAGTACAACAGCCTGTCCAAGAGCACCACACCCCTCACGTGTTCCTCTGCAGACTTAGACTTCGGTTCCAGTGTTCTGCCTTCTTATCCACAGGTCCAAGTCCCCACACATTGAAGGAGATACACTGACTTTGGGACAGGTCAGCAATTTCTCTGCTAAGCAGCTACGACTGTCTTATCGACATGTATTACTGAGAAATAAACCCATTCAGTTGTGGTGAAAAAAATTCTACCAATCACAATTTGGTATCCTCCCCCCTCCCCAGCAGAGCAACTGAAGATTGTTACCACACCATGGTCACCTAGGTGATAGTGGTACTTTTAGTCATTTTTCCTGGGTGGCCATTTCTGTATGCAGTTTCTAGCCTAGAAGTCTAGGTTGAGTTAGATACCTAGACAAAAGAATGACCCGAAGAGTCCAGCTCCACATTTTTGAAACCAGGTTCATAGTATTTTGCACCAAACCTATTCATCCTATGCTATTATGGAACATCTTCTCTCCAAAGCTGCCCACCCCAGCTGCTTCCCCACCTTCCGTCTTACCAGGCTTTCTTGTGCCTCTGTTTCCACTTCCACCGCTTTACCTGAGGTCTGTGCACACTGTGGTCTCCTTTGCCTGTGATACTGTGGAAGTCTTTTTACTCTGTGGTTCTTGACCGATTCTCTACCATCTGTGTTTTGCACAATTGCCATACATTGGATCATATCTCAACCTTGTTCCAAGTCCTTAAGTAGCTCTCTTTCAACATCAGGTTCAAAACCCAGTGCACAGTCCGCGAAGCTTGGCCTCCACCTTCCATGGTAGTTTCACCAGCAGACACCTCTGCACATCCTCCTCAGTGTCAAGCGGTGTGACACCAAACTTTCCTTGTCACCTCCTGATTCTGCACTAATCCTTTGTTCCTCCATTGGCCTGAGAGGCCATGGCATCTCCCTAGTATTTTTTAAAACAACTTTTTAATTATTTTCATAACATAGCCCAACGTTAAAGAGGTTCAAAGAGGCCTTCTGGGCTGTGTGCTACCTAACGACTGCTCAGTCTCTTTCTGCCACGCCCCCCAAGAGCACAGACTGAGTCTCCAGAGAACTGTTTGGAGCTTTCTCAGGGACAACTCACCACTCAGCAACCAACTCTACCTGGGGATTGAACCCAGAGGCACACTTCAAGTCCTTTTCTTTTTAATTAATTAATTTATGCATCTATTTATTTAAAATAAGTTCTCATCTAAGCCAAGCTAGCCTAAAACTCACTTCGCTGCTGAAGATGGCCTTGAACTCCTGATGCTTCTGCTGGGATTACAGTGTGTCCCGTCCCATCCTGTCCAGTTTATGTGTGAGGGACCGAGGCAGAGCTTCATGCATGCTAGGCAATCATTCTGTCAGCTCAGCCATATCCCCGGCTCCAGTCTGTGGCTCTTTAAAGGGAGGAAGGCAGGCGGAAGTTTTCCTTAGGCTGGTCACAGACATGCCCCGACTTTCTATTTGCACACACCCGTCATCCATCCCATTGCATTTACCTACCAGTCCACAGGTACACCATTTTCACTTCTGCAAGAGATTTCTGCCATGGCTGGGACCCCAGAGAGGGCAAAGAAGAGCAAAGCAAGAGCTGTTCTTAGAGGGTTTGCAGTCATTTTCTATCTGTTGCCAGGAACTCTGTCAAGTCTTTCTCAGGCCGTGCTGGCTCAGATGTGGGCTCTATTCTCTTTCGCGGTTCACTGTTCGGACATAAACAGAAGAGGCTGAGTCCCGTGTCACCTGATGGTTCTGTCACAACATTCCAGTGTGACTCCGGGTACCTTTGTGCTCGATCATTGACAAGTTTGCAAAGTCATAGAAAAGTCTGGAGGGAACAGGGTATTTATCCTGCTAGCCTATGTAGTTAACTCCGGAGTGATTTAGAGAGTGTGAAGTGCATAGGAACAAGAATTCTTGACAAGTAGATGTTGAGTGAGGTGTATTCTGTGTTTCTTTTCTCTTCTGATTGACTATCTGTGAGCATAAATGCATGTGATTCATACATTAGAAATGACAAAACCTCGTGCCTTATTAATAATTAGGATATGTCACCTACAATATCCCTGCCTTAAGGGAGTAATTTCCGAAACAGTGCCCTGAAGGTCGCTTTAAACAAAGAGCAAATTCAATTGCATTTTAGCAGAACATGTTGATTTATCTTCCCCACACCCCTGGTTCTGACCACTCAGCAAGGAGCTTGGCTTTAAAAAGGCTGTGGATCTGCTGTGCAATCAGGTCAATATTGACCGCCCACTCTTTGGGGATAAATAAAAACTTTACCAACCTCTCATCAACTCTTACCATTCTTTCTCACTCCTGAAACTGAGATTAGAGTTGAAGGTTGAAGGAAAATGGCCCATTACCATGGCGACTATGGAAAGGTGAGCTGCCCTGTCCTGAGAGAGGGGGAGAATAGACAGACATACAGACATCTTCAAGGAATATCTTTGCCTACCCATGAATTCCTGTTTAGCTGTCATGCTAAGTGGCAATTCACTTTATGCCTGGAAATCATGGTGACTCTGCTCCATCCCTCTCCTTGATTGTGGATTCAGACCAGAGTCATTTTGGAGAGCCAGCCCACAAAAGACCTTGAAGGTCAGGTCACTTCTATGGGCTAGCCTAACAGGTGTTCTTCAGGTTCTCGAATTTGTAGGGAAGGGAGGGCTTGTGGACCTATTTCTCCCAAGACAGAGGATTATGGAGCCACTGACAAAACTCACATTATCTGTGGTACCAGTAAAAGGGCAGAATTCTGGGCCTTATCTCAGAATCAGAGTCCCTAAAGCTGGGCCAGGAACCTGTGATGTGTGTATGCATGTGAGCTTCCGGGTAGCGGTCAGAAGTCAATGTTGGGTATTTGCCTCAATCATTCCTTCTTAATTTTTAAAGAGAAGGTTTCTCAGTGGCCTGGAGTTCTGTAATTTGGTGAGGCTGGTTAACCAGCAAGCCCCAGGAATCCTTGCCAGTGCTGGGATTACAGATGTTTGCCACTGTGGCTAGCTTTTAAAAATGTGAGTTCTGGGGGATCGAACTCAGATCCTTATGCTGTGTGGCAAGCATTGACAGACTGAGCCACTTCTATAGGCTCCCAGAGCCTACAGTTTAAATAAGTTTATTGTTAGTGCAGGTGCATTGTAAAATTTAAGCCTACTGTCCTGAGATGTCTAGATGTGACATCTAGAGACCAACAGCTTTCTAAAAGGGGGCAGTAAGAATCAAGTAGACCAAGAAACATTTTTCTCACCATTTCTGCATTTTGCTTTGTAGTTGTAATTGTTTGTAGTTGTGATTGCTTTGTAGTTTGTAATTGTGAGCAGAAAATGATTTCAATAGCTGCAAACAATAAACATATTCGTGGCGTGATGTTTATTTTAAAAGAAAAATTAGTATCATTTACTTCTTTTATTTTATGAAACTTACGCAATTGAGCAATCAAGTATAGGATTTGTTGAATCATTTAGAGAACATGAGCAAATCATTTTCATTTATGTGACCTAAAGGCAGCTTTGCCGAATAGGCTCGAGAAGAGTTCCTACTTTTTCCTCTCCTTGTCAAATACAGGGTAGGATGGTGATGATATTTGAGAGAGTGATCCTTAAGTTTTAGCCAAGCCTGTTCCTACCTTCCTGTGAGTAGGCCGAAGGACAGCTGTATTTGGGTGGCATTTGCTAAATCCAATTTCAGTTCAAGATCTGGAAAGACGCTTTTAATAAACTTTCTTTGCTGGTGTCGCTGACTCTACCATGTGGTTGTCCTTGAACAAACAACCGTCCTCAGGCAAACGTTTCATGATCCAACGCTGTAACCAGCTGTTAAGGGTTTCTGGGAATTCCAGCGGGGTCCCAATTCCTAGACTCCAATATATCTCCCCTCCCCCCTCTTTTTTCTTTTTACTAAAACTAATAAAGTGTTACTATGGAAAGAAACCTACAGGTTGGGTGGATGAGGAAAATACAAACAGGACAGAAGGCTTTTTATGATACAGCTTGCTTTGGAAGCCACATTGTATAATAGCATGGAACTACCACACTCTTTCACAGCCTAAGGATTTGTCAAAACAGTAGAAATTGCTTTCTTATCTACTTGACCAAGTAGAGTAAACAGGGAGGAGCTCATTGCCTGGAAGTGGGCTGACTTTGCATTCATTCTCCCAAGAATTCTGGAAGGCTGTAGTCCCGATTTTTTTGAAAAGTTGCCTTGTTCACCCCATCTTTCTCACGCCCTTCATGTTTTTCATCTTTCATGGATTCCAGCTCCTGTGTGTCTGCATTAGCCCTTGGTGATTCTTAGACATGTTGTGTTTTTATTTTTAATTGTGTGTATCTGTGTGTGTACATGGGTACAGCACCTTCAGAGGGCAGAGGCTTTGATCTCCCTGTCGCTGGAGACGACAGGTGGCAGTGGTCAACTAGACACGGGTGTCGCTGAGTGAACCCAGCTCTTCCGCAAAAGCCGTTTTCCAGTGCCAGCATTTGATTCTTTATTTGGTTCTTTTCCATTCTAGGGTTTCCATCCCTAGCTCTTCTTCGAAAATTAATCTGTTACTTATTCTATCTCTCCAAAATAACCAATTATTTCTTGAGCTGTGTTCAGTAGATTCTTATCTGATTATTAATTGTTAGAATCTTTCATTTTTTCCATATGTCTGTTGTAATGTGCACGTGTGTGTGTGTGTGTGTGTGTGTGTGCGTGTGTGTGCACACGCGCAGGTGGAGAAGATCTGATTGCAGCCATCAGGTTTGTGTGGTAAGGATTTTGCCTGCTGAATCTCCTTCAGCTCCCTAGTTTTATTTCTTTCAAATTAAGTTTTTAAAATTAAGTTTTTAATATTTGCTTTTATTTTCTTCGTGTCCAATTTCTGTCAAAACATTAAGTGTATGATCTTGCACCTTGCATCTAATTCTACTCCTTCGTACGTGCAGGTTAGGCTCTGGGGCTGTTTTTGCCGCTCATTGTTGACACCTTCCTACTGCTGTATACTTTTCCCTTTGGGCTGTACTTTCCGTTCCTTGCAAATTTGTCTGTGAAAAAAAATTTAAGGTACAAGAATAAAGTTGGAGCTTTTCAGCCTCTGGCAGCTGCAGATTTGGTGGCAATACAGTCATCTGCGAGGGCTCCCATAAATAAATAAAGCTGCTGGCTTTATTTATGTTTTGAAGTATGATTTACATCCCATGAGATGTGTCTGTTTAAGGACAGCTTTCTCTCTGAGCAGAGTTTCGAAGTCTGCTGACAGACTGAGCGGAGTCTAGAGTGTGGCAGACAGAAGGAAAGTCGATGCTTGCAGTATGAGTAAAGGAAGAGGCTTTGAATTGTTGATAAAAACAAACAAGTCAAGCAAATGTAGGCAAATAAAAGCTCGTGAAGGATGTGGTTAAGGAGAGCATCCTTAGTGGCAGAGTGGATATGTGCCACAGGCTGGTTCCAATCACCCTCCATGCTGCGTTGGAATCCCAGTTTCTTCCTGAATCTTCCCCCACTTTGGCTTTGGTGTCCCCCCCACAACAGGTCAGCAGAGCTCACTCACTGCTTCCATTAGCATAATTAACACACTGGGTGACTACCTGCTTGGTTTTTTTTTTTTTTTCTTTTTGCGTCTTCCCCTATTCTAGACGTTCCTGGATACAGGCGGAAAACTCCTAAATCTGGCCCACTGACTGTTTTTATAAAGGTTTATTGTCACACAGCCATGCCCATTGCTGTTTGGATTGTATGTAGTTTCTCTTATGCAATAACGACAGAACTGAGTCTCTGAAACACCGCCTGAAAAGCCCAGTGTTGGCTTTTTGATTCTTCACAGGAGAACGCTCTGCCACACGTTTTCCACCTACACGGATCTAAGTCAGTATAGCTCTATGGACGTATAAAGTGGATGGAAATGAATGTTAAAACTTTGAGTGATGGGGCTAGAAAGGAGCTCAGCGGCTAAAAGCTCATGCAGCTCTTACAGAGGACCTGACTTCAGTTTCGAGCATCCACAACTGAGTTGTGGTGGCTCACAACTCTCCGTAACTGCCAGGCAAAAGAATGAAAATAACTGAGCACCTGCAACTGGAGTTGGAAAGAGGTCATGGGTCAGTTAACCTTCCTTTTCTCTGTGAATATTCAGTGAGACTTTATTCTTCTATTGAAACATCCACTAGGATCAGCTCTGAAGGGGCTGCACGCCTCCCTCATGAGCGCTAAATCACTCTTCAGGGCCAGGCGGTACAGTCTTGTTATGCATTTAGTAGATCCCATGCAGCAAGACAAAACAAACATAAAGCAAACACACAGACATGTACATGTCCCGCCACCGCCACACTGGCTGCTTCTAAGACCATCACTTGGTATTATTCTTCTTATCATTTGTATGTATTGAGGCCCATGAAGGGGATACTAGCGCGGTTCACGTGAGTGCTCGTTTTTCTCATATTAGGCCAACATTCCTTCCCTTCCTTGAAGATTTTACATTCGCAAATGCCCAAGAAAACATTCAAGTAAGGAGAAACCTAAAGGATTTGAAGACTCTCCTTGGCAGATTTCAAGGAAAGAGGCAGAGAGGAAAAGAGGGATAGAGGAGGAGGGGAAGTGGGAGGAGAAAGGGGAAAAGAGAGGAGAGAGAGGTAGAGATTGAGCTTCTTATCCATAATTCTTAAGTACTACAGCATAACTGAATTATGATATTTAGATGCAAAACAGCAAACGTTTTTTTCTC